TAAGGCTACAAACACAACATTTAACACTGTGTAGGCTACAAACACTACATTTAACCACTGTGAAGGCACAAACACTACATTTAACACTGTGAAGGCTACAAACACTACATTTAACACTGTTAAGGCTACAAACACTACATTTAACACTGTGAAGGCTACAAACACTACATTTAACACTGTGAAGGCTACAAACACTAAAATTTAACACTGTTAGGGTACAAACACAACATTTAACACTGTGTAGGCTACAAACACTACATTTAACACTGTTAAGGCTACAAACACTACATTTAACACTGTGAAGGCTACAAACACTACATTTAACACTGTGAAGGCTACAAACACTACATTTAACACTGTGAAGGCTACAAACACTGCATTTAACACTGTGAAGGCTACAAACACTACATTTAACACTGTGAAGGCTACAAACACTGCATTTAAACACTGTGAAGGCTACAAACAACTACATTTAACACTGTGAAGGCTACAAACACTGCATTTAACACTGTGTAGGCTACAAACACTACATTTAACACTGTGTAGGCTACAAACACAACATTTAACACTGTGAAGGCTACAAACACTACATTTAACACTGTTAAGACTACAAACACTACATTTAACACTGTGAAGGCTACAAACACTACATTTAACACTGTGAAGGCTACAAACACTACATTTAACACTGTTAAGACTACAAACACTACATTTAACACTGTGTAGGCTACAAACACAACATTTAACACTGTGAAGGCTACAAAACACTGCATTTAAAAACTGTGTAAGGCTACAAACACTACATTTAACACTGTTAAGACTACAAACACTACATTTAAACACTGTGTAGGCTACAAACACTACATTTAACACTGTGAAGGCTACAAACACAACATTTAACACTGTGAAGGCTACAAACACTACATTTAACACTGTGTAGGCTACAAACACAACATTTAACACTGTTAAGACTACAAGCACTACATTTAACACTGTGTAGGCTACAAACACAACATTTAACACTGTTAAGACTACAAACACTACATTTAACACTGTGAAGGCTACAAAAAACAACATTTAACACTGTGAAGGCTACAAACACTACATTTTTAACACTGTTAAGACTACAAACACTACATTTAACACTGTGAAGGCTACAAACACTACATTTAACACTGTGAAGGCTACAAACACTACATTTAACACTGTTAAGACTACAAACACTACATTTAACACTGTTAAGACTACAAACACTACATTTAACACTGTGAAGGCTACAAACACTACATTTAACACTGTGTAGGCTACAAACACTACATTTAACACTGTGAAGGCTACAAACACTACATTTAACACTGTGAAGGCTACAAACACTACATTTAACACTGTTAAGGCTACAAACACTACATTTAACACTGTTAAGACTACAAACACTACATTTAACACTGTGAAGGCTACAAACACTACATTTAACACTGTGAAGGCTACAAACACAACATTTAACACTGTGAAGGCTACAAACACTACATTTAACACTGTTAAGACTACAAACACTACATTTAACACTGTGAAGGCTACAAACACTACATTTAACACTGTGTAGGCTACAAACACTACATTTAACACTGTGAAGGCTACAAACACTACATTTAACACTGTGAAGGCTACAAACACTACATTTAACACTGTGTAGGCTACAAACACTACATTTAACACTGTGAAGGCTACAAACACTACATTTAACACTGTGAAGGCTACAAACACTACATTTAACACTGTGTAGGCTACAAACACTACATTTAACTCTCCTAGAAGTCCACTCATGGAAGGTATTTTGTTGTTGGTGATGGTTTAAGATCCTGTATATTAGCAAATATAAATGACGCTGTGTTTTATGTTTGTTGGGAGGATTTTGTTGTTGGCATCAGTAGCTGTGAGCCCGGAGGTGCCACTGTGAGCCCGGAGGTGCCACTGTGAGCCCGGAGGTGCCACTGTGAGCCCGGAGGTGCCACTGTGAGCCCGGAGGTGCCACTGTGAGCCCGGAGGTGCCACTGTGAGCCCGGAGGTGCCACTGTGAGCCCGGAGGTGCCACTGTGAGCCCGGAGGTGCCACTGTGAGCCCGGAGGTGCCACTGTGAGCCCGGAGGTGCCACTGTGAGCCCGGAGGTGCCACTGTGAGCCCGGAGGTGCCACTGTGAGCCCGGAGGTGCCACTGTGAGCCCGGAGGTGCCACTGTGAGCCCGGAGGTGCCACTGTGAGCCCGGAGGTGCCACTGTGAGCCCGGAGGTGCCACTGTGAGCCCGGAGGTGCCACTGGCTGTGAGCCCGGAGGTGCCCCTGGCTGTGAGCCCGGAGGTGCCACTGGCTGTGCCTCCAGTCCAACAAGGCTCCAAGGTTTACCTGGAGTTTACCTGGAGAGGATGGATTTCAGGGGTGAATGCTCCCCACAGCTTAGTCTGAGACCAGGCCTCACGGTGGATCAGGGTCTGATCAACCAGGCTGTTACTACTGGCCATACGCAAGCTGAAGTACGGTGAAGTAGGTGCCTGTCCAGTGCCTTCTTGAAGACAGCCAGGGGTCTTGAAGACAGCCAGGGGTCTTGAAGACAGTCAGGGGTGTTGAAGACAGCCAGGGGTCTATTGGTAATCCCCCTTATGTATGTTGGGAGGCAGCTGAACAGTCTTGGGCCCCTGACACTTGCTGTGTCGTCTCTCAGTGTACTCGTGGCGCCTCTGCTTTTCATCGAGGGAATGTTGCATCTCCTGCCGAGTCTTTTGCTTTCATATGGAGTGATTTTCGTGTGCAAGTTTGGTACCAATCCCTCCAGGACCTTCCAAGTGTATATTATCATGTATTTCTCTGCTAGGCTATTTTGCTTCTCTCTCTCCATTTTCTGTCTTCGTTTCCTACCTTCCCTCCCTCCCTCCTACATTGCCTCCCTCCCTCCTACCTTCCCTTTCTCCCTCTTACCATCCCACTTTCCCTTTCTCCCTCTTACCATCCCACTTTCCCTTTCTCCCTCTTACCATCCCACCTTCCCTCCCTCCCTCCTACATTCCCTCCCTCCCTCCTACCTTCCCTTTCTCCCTCCTACCATCCCTCCCTCCTACCTTCCCTTTCTCCCTCCTACCATCCCTCCCTCCTACCTTCCCTCTCTCCCTCCTACATCCCCTCCCTCCCTCCTACCATCCCTCCCTCCCTCCTACCTTCCCTCCCTCCCTCCTACCTTCCCTCCCTCTCCCACTCCCTCCCTGGAGGGGTACAGACTATAATGTTACACTCAGACGGCATTCTTTGCTAAAACTACAATGATCACAACACCACACACAACACCACAACACAACACAACACCACAACACCACACCACCACACCACACAGCAACACCACACCACAACACCACACAGCAACATCACAACACCACACCACAACACCACACCACAACACCACACAGCAACACCACACCACACCACCACAACACAACACCACAACACAACACAGCACCACAACACAACACAGCACCACAACACAACACACCACACCACCCCCACACACAACACCACACACCACAACACCACACACCACAACACTGCAACACCGCAACACAACACTGCAACACACACTGCAGCACCACAGAACACCACAGCGCAACGCCACAACACAGCACCACAACACAACACTACACCACAACACCCCACAGCACTGCAACACAATATACAGCACTACACAACACACACTACATAACACCACACAACACACACACACAGACAGGTGTTGCTGGCATTATGTTGTAAGACTGTAGTATAGAAGTATAGTACATGTTGGAAGGCGCCTCGTGGCCTGGTAGGTCAAACTGCCACTTCAGACCACTGACGAGTCACAGGGATGTTAGGAAGTATTTCTTCAGTCACAGTAGTCAGCAAGTGGAATAGTCTAGCAAGTGATGTAGTGGAAGCAGGAACCATACATAGCTTTACGATGAGGTATGACAAAGCTCAGGGAGCAGAGAGAGAAAGGACCTAGTAGCGATCAGTGAAGAGACGGTGCCAGGAGCTGAGTATCGACCCCTGCAACCACAATTAGGCGAGTAAAATTAGGGCGAGTAAAATTAGGTGAGTACACACTGAGGATCCAGGTTCAATTCCCAGCCAGGGTGGAAACATTGGGCGTGTTTCCTTGTACCGGTTGTTCATGTTCACCCATCAGTAAAATAGGTACCTGGCTATTAGTGGACTGGTGTGGGTCGCTTCCTGGGACACTCACCTAATTTTCGGGAAATGCTCAGCATAACAAGGGGCTTTCTGTATAGTAGTATGTCATTGATGTCAGCTATGGTCTGTATACCTTGTACATGTACTTGTATACCTTGTACATGTACTGGTATACCTTGTACATGTACTTGTATACCTTGTACATGTACTTGTATACCTTGTACATGTACTTGTATACCTTGTACATGTACTGGTATACCTTGTACATGTACTTGTATACCTTGTACATGTACTTGTATACCTTGTACATGTACTTGTATATCTTATACATGTACTTGTATACCTTGTACATGTACTTGTATACCTTGTACATGTACTTGTATACCTTGTACATGTACTTGTATACCTTGTACATGTACTTGTATACCTTGTACATGTACTTGTATACCTTGTACATGTACTTGTATACCTTGTACATGTACTGGTATAACCTTGTACATGTACTTGTATACCTTGTACATGTACTGGTATACCTTGTACATGTACTTGTATACCTTGTACATGTACTGGTATACCTTGTACATGTACTTGTATACCTTGTACATGTACTTGTATACCTTGTACATGTACTTGTATACCTTGTACATGTACTTGTATACCTTGTACATGTACTAGTATACCTTGTACATGTACTAGTATACCTTGTACATGTACTGGTAGTAAATAAAGATACTATTATTATTATTATTATTATTATTATTATTATTATTATTATTATTATTATTATTATTACATTTGTTGACAGGTGTGGGAGGAAGTCAGCCAGAGTGGGAAGGACTTCGTGAAGCGGCTGTTAGAGGTCGATCCCAGTGCCAGGTTGACAGCTGTGGAGGCACTAAGACACAAGTGGATATTAGCGCATCACCACAACACCTGCACTCAACAGGTGTGTACCCCACAATCTTGCTTAACACTGGTTTACAACACCTGGGTGTCTTTATTGATGAATAAGACACATGTACAACACCTGGGTGTCTTTATTGATGAATAAGACACATGTACAACACCTGGGTGTCTTTATTGATGAATAAGACACATGTACAACACCTAGGTGTGTCTATTGATGAATAAGACACATGTACAACACCTGGGTGTCTTTATTGATGAATAAGACACATGTACAACACCTGGGTGACTTTATTGATGAATAAGACACATGTACAACACCTGGGTGTCTTTATTGATGAATAAGACACATGTACAACACCTAGGTGTGTCTATTGATGAATAAGACACATGTACAACACCTGGGTGTCTTTATTGATGAATAAGACACAAAGTACAACACCTTGGGTGTCTTTATTGATGAATAAGACACATGTACAACACCTAGGTGTGTCTATTGATGAATAAGACACATGTACAACACCTGGGTGTCTTTATTGATGAATAAGACACATGTACAACACCAGGGTGTCTTTATTGATTAATAAGACACATTTTACAACACCTGGGTGTCTTTATTGATGAATAGATACATGTACAACACCTGGGTGTCTTTATTGATGAATAAGACACATGTACAACACCTGGTGTCTTTATTGCTGAATAAGACACATGTACAACACCTGGGTGTCTTTATTGATGAATAAGACACATGTACAACACCTGGGTGTCTTTATTGATGAATAAGACACATGTACAACACCTGGGTGTCTTTATTGATGAATAAGACACATGTACAACACCTGGTGTCTTTATTGATGAATAAGACACATGTACAACACCTGGGTGTCTTTATTGATGAATAAGACACATGCACAACACCTGGGTGACTATATTGATGGATAAGACACATGCACAACACCTGGGTGTCTTTATTGATGAATAAGACACATGTACAACACCTGGGTGTCTTTATTGATGAATAAGACACATGCACAACACCTGGGTGACTATATTGATGGATAAGACACATGTACAACACCTGGTGTCTTTATTGATGAATAAGACACATGTACAACACCTGGGTGTCTTTATTGATGAATAAGACACATGCACAACACCTGGGTGACTATATTGATGAATAAGAAAGCATGCACAACACCTGGGTGTCTTTATTGATGAATAAGACACATGTACAACACCTGGGTGTCTTTATTGATGAATAAGACACATGCACAACACCTGGGTGACTATATTGATGAATAAGACACATGTACAACACCTGGGTGTCTTTATTGATGAATAAGACACATGCACAACACCTGGGTGACTATATTGATGGATAAGACACATGTACAACACCTGGGTGTCTTTATTGATGAATAAGACACATGCACAACACCTGGGTGACTATATTGATGAATAAGACACATGCACAACACCTGGGTGACTATATTGATGGATAAGACACATGCACAACACCTGGTGACTATATTGATGGATAAGACACATGCACAACACCTGGGTGACTATATTGATGGATAAGACACATGCACAACACCTGGGTGACTATATTGATGGATAAGACACATGCACAACACCTGGGTGACTATATTGATGGATAAGACACATGCACAACACCTGGGTGACTATATTGATGGATAAGACACATGCACAACACCTGGGTGACTATACAGCCTCTCCTTGCTTAACTACAGAGTTCCATTCCTAAGACCACATTGGTAAATGAATTCGTCACTAAGTGAGGAGCAGACTATAATGGTAGTAGGTTTGTGTCAACCATCTTTGATGTTGTTTTAATGTCACCTTTGTACCAGTTACAACATTCCTGGTATACATTGGAACCCCGAGTTTCTGGTATACAGTGGAACCCCGAGTTTCTGGTATACATTGGAACCCCGAGTTTCTGGTATACAGTGGAACCCCGAGTTTCTGGTATACAGTGGAACCCCGAGTTTCTGGTATACAGTGGAACCCCGAGTTTCTGGTATACAGTGGAACCCCGAGTTTCTGGTATACAGTGGAACCCCGATTTTTCTGGATACAGTGGAACCCCGAGTTTCCTCATTAATCCATTCCAGAGAGTCTCCTAAATTGGCAAGACCATTTTCCCCATAAGAAATAATTTTAATCCAATTAATCTGTTTGAGACACCCAAAGTATTAACAAAAAATCAATTTTTGAAGATTAAAAAATAGATTTACATACAGAAAACAATGACAAATAAAAAATAAAGCACTAATAAAAAGGATAAATGAACATTTAACATCACACTTACCTTTATTTAAGACTCTTGGGGTAGGGAAAACAGGTAAAGGAGGGAGAGGGAGGCGAGTTTATTATGCTTCAGTATGACATAGTATCTCTTTGGCTTATTTATCTATCACAATTTATCTGATATGACATAATAAGCAATATTAATAATAAGAAACATCATATAACTTTATTTTATTTTTTTTTTTTTTATCACACTGGCCGATTCCCACCAAGGCAGGGTGGCCCAACAAAGGCAGGGTGGCCCACCAAGGCAGGGTGGTCCACCAAGGCAGGGTGGCCCACCAAGGCAGGGTGGTCCACCAAGGCAGGGTGGCCCACCAAGGCAGGGTGGCCCCCCAAGGAAAGGGGCCCACAAGGCGGGGTGGCCCGAAAAAAAAACTTCACCTCATTCACTCCACATTTTTTTTCCAAAAGGGGTGCTTTACCTACATTTTTAAAAACGCAACATTAACACCCCTCCTTCAGAGTGCAGCAGTATTTCCCATCTCCAGGACTCAAGTCTGGCCTGCCAGTTTCCCTAACCCCCTTTCAAAAATTTTACTTTGCCACACTCCAACAGCACGTCAAGTATTTAAAAAACCCCATTGTCCCTTCACTCCTATAAAAACACGCTCACGTGCCTGCGGGAAGTCCAAGCCCCTCGCAACAAAACCCCTTTCCCCCCTTTCCCCCCTTTTTCCACCCCCCTACCCGCCCCTTTTTCCACACAGACTGATACACTTGAAGTTTCTGTTTCATTTCCATTCTCCCCACATGTCCGAACCCCCAACAACCCTTCCTCGCCCCCTGACAAATTTTTTTTGGTAATCCGCACCACCTCCTAACTTAAAACTACGAATTCTCTGCTTTTAAAATTCACAAAAACCATGCTCTCAGACATGACATCTCCACTGCCCCCAGCCTTCCCCTGCTCAACATTCATCACCCATGTTTTACACCCTATAAGAGGTTGGGTAAAATTTAACTCTAAATACTTCCCCTTTTTGCCCCCAAAGGAAAAAAATTTTTTTTCCCCACGACTCCTAATGAAACCATCCCCTTTTCCCCTATAAATTTATGATTCACCTATCTTCATAGCCCCATCCGCTGACACGTCCTTCCCCCAAAATATCTGAATACATTACCCCCTCCATACTCCTCCCTCCAATCGTTCCAATTTTCATACCTAATTTTTTGTTACCCTCAAAACCCTTACTCTTTCCTGTTTTCATTTTTAATTTTTTTTTCCCTCCCAAATTTCATCCACCAACTCTGCAACTTCCTTCAGAATCTCCCAAGACCAGTGTCATCAGCAAAAGACCTATCACAACTCCCATTTATGGTGATTCTTTGTTTTTAACTCCACGCCTCTTGCCAAACCCTCGCATTTATTTTTCTTACAAACCCCCTCATAAATATATAAACAACCCGGTCACATCACCTCCTTGTCAAAAGGCCCACTTTTACGGGGAAATAATTTCCCTCTTTCCTAATACTCTAAATTGACCTCACTTCCCGTAAAAACTCTTCATGCTTTTAGAAACCTACCCCCCTATACTACACCCGAAAAATCTGCCACATTGCCCCCCATCCCCCCTGTCATACGCCTTTTCCAAATCCATAAAAGCCCCAAAGACCCCTTTAGCCTATCTAAATACTTTCACTTTATGTTTCACGTAAACCCTGTCCCCACACCCCCCCACCTTTCCTAAAGCTCTTTGTTTATCTGCTATCCTATTCTCCGTCCCCGCTCTTAATTCTTTCAATAAAAACCTAAACCCAAAACTTTTCCAGGATACTCAACAAACTTATTCCCAAAAATTTTTTTCCCTCTTTTGTCCCCTTTGCCTTTTAAAAAAAGGAACTATGCATGCTCTCTCCAATCCCCAGGGCCCTTTCCCTCATCCAACTTTTTTTAAATAATTGCACCAACCCTCCAAAACTATACCCCACCCTTTTAACATTTTTTTATCCCCTCAATCCTGGTTGCCTTTAAAACCCCCTTTTATTTTACCTACTGCCTCCGAACTTCCCCCCCAAAACCCCAAAATGGTCTTCCTCACTCCTACAAGTTTATTCTTCCTTGCCCTATACACGAAAACACAGCTTCCCTTCTTCATCAACATTTAACAATTCCCCAAAAAATTTTCCCCCCATCTTCCAATCCCCTTTAAATCTCCATTTTAAAAACTCTTTCCCCCTATTTTTAAAATGACAAATCCATTGTTCTCTAGGGTTCCTTTAATTTTAATTTCACTCCAAAACTTTTTCTTATTTTTTAACAAAATTTGTTATAAATCTCCTCTCTTTTTTGCTCTCTTTTTTCATTTCTTCACCCCTCTCTTTAAACCCCTCTTTTTCTCCCTATACTCTTCCCTCCTTTCATCACTTCTATTTGTAAAAAATTCTCAATGCTAACTTTTTTCCCCCCCTTACTACTCTTTTTTCACATCATTCACCAATCGCTCCCCTTTTTTCCTCCCGCACCACTTTTCCCGCAACCACAAAATTCTGTGAACACTCTAACACTACATTTTTAAACCCACCCATACCCCTTTTGACCCCATTTCCCTTTCTCCTATTACCCCTCTATCTCCAATGCTGTTTATATCTTTTCCCTAACCGCCTCCCTCTTTTATTTTATAAACCTTCCCTCTCTCTTCCCTGATGCTTCTATTTCCTTGTACCCCCTCTCCCTTTTAAATCTCAGTGTAGCTCAACAAA